ACGAGCACGAGCAGCAGCAGCAGCAGCAGCGGTCGCGGCACGCCATGTGCATCGTCGCGCTCGAGCCGCATCATGGACATCAGCAGCATCGTCTGAGCCAGCTACAGTCGCACCACGGCACCGACAGCAGCAGCGACAGCGCCCTTACAACTCGAATTGCTTCCTCTTCCGCATTCCAGACCGACCACGACTGCGCTGTTTCGAGTAGGCGCTGTCGACACTTGCCTGATTCCAGAGTGGCGCCTGGTCCAATCGATCTCTTGTTCTTCCGGTTTCAACTGCGACTGTGCGCATGCGTCAGACACGATTACGAGCACGGGTTGATCTCACTGCGTCGGCACACGGCACGGAGGAGAGCGCAAAGACGGCGCAATCTTGGATTGCTTAGCGTTGGTGGTGGTGATGAGGCGACGAGCATGTGGTTTGCTATGGCTGCGGGTGAGCGCGTACGCTTACTCGTAGATCCAGGCGTCAACGGCGCGGGTGTAGGCGATGGTGGGGGTCTGCTCACCGAACCAGAGGGCGATTTCGGCCTTGGCGGACTCGACGGAGTCGGAGCCGTGGCAGACGTTGCGGCCGACGTCGATGGCAAAGTCGCCACGGATGGTGCCGGGGGCCGAGTCGAGGGGGTTGGTGGCGCCGAGGAGGACACGGCCGGTCTTGACGGCGTCCTTGCCCTCCCAGACCATGGCGACGACGGGGCCGGAGGCCATGTACTTGATGAGGCCGGGGAAGAACTTCTTGCCCTTGAGGTCCTTGTAGTGCTGCTCGAGGTGCTCCTCGGAGGCATGCACCATCTTGAGCGCAGCCAGCTTGAAGCCGCGAGCCTCGAAGCGCTTGATGATCTCGCCCACCAGACCGCGCTGCACGCCGTCCGGCTTGATCATGATGTAGGCTGCAGTTCAAAAGCGAGAGTCAGCGGTGCGTCACGGCAGCGTTGTGCGCGGGCAGGGGGTGCTTACTCTGTTCGGAAGCCATTTTGAAGGAAGAGATGGGGGAACAACTAAGAGATGGTGTTGGTGGAGGAGCGGAAGAATGCGGTCGCAGCGTTAGCATGCACGACAGGGCGAGCAGCAGTGCGAGTGCCACTTCGAGCCGGCTGAAGCGGCGCATTTCTTCTTGGTCCGCACACGCACGCAGCAGGAGCAAAGGCAGAATCGAGCGTTGCGCACCCTTCTCAATCTGCAGTGGCAAAGCTTTGTTCGCCCAGCCAAGGTGATCAGTGCAGACCCGCTTGGAAAAAGGAGAGGCCTCCTGGACACGGACGAAAAAAAAAAAA